GCACAGTGCCTGGTACACAGTAAGCACTTTTTTGGGGGACTGAATTATGCATTAAAATATGTGCATGTGAAAAAATGTTTAAAAAATGTCCTTATTATTCCTTCCCTCCATTTCCTTTCATGGTGCACACTAGGTATCTGCCTGTGCAACCTACCTTTCCCCACAGCTTGACCACCACATCCAATAGATCAAATGAGATGATGTATGTAAAGGGTTTTGCAAACTTAAAGTGTTAGATAATTGTCAATTATTATAACCAATGAGCAACTCTGAAGAGGAACAGAAATAAAAGATGTCATCAAGAAAATGTATGACAGGAAGAAAAGACGGGCTGGTCATGTGGCAAAATTGAGGAATCAGATATATTCATCCAGATGTCCCATAGGCATCTCAAACTCAACATATCCAAAACAGAACTCATTGTCTTTCCCCCCATATTCGTCCTTCTTCTGAACTTCCCTGTTTCTGCTGAGGGCACCATGATCCTTTCAGACATTCAGTTTCACGACCTTGGTGTCATCCCTGACTTATGCTCTCAATTACTCTACATAGCCAATCAGTCGCCATGTCTTGTTTCTGTCTCCACAATATCTCACACACCTGTCTCCTTCTTTTCACTCATACAGACACCACTTTTTCATCTCTTGCATGGACCATTGCTTTTTTTTTTTTTAGCTTCTCTGCCTCAAGTCCCCCACTCCAATCTATCCTCCATGCTACTGCCAATGAGATTTTTCTATAGCACAGGTCCAACCATTTCATTCTCCTATTCAATAAACTCCCATGGCTCCCTACTACCTCTAGGAAACAATCCTGACCCTAACCTATGTTTCTAGCCTCTTTACATGTTACTCTCTTTCAAGTTCAAGACTATATGGTCCAGTCAAATAGATCTACTTCATATTCTTCATACCTGTTACAATCTTCAGTCTCCATGCCTTTGCCCCAGCTTCCCTGCAAGGAATGCACTCCTTTCTCACATCTGCTTCATAGAATCCCTAGTTACTTTAAAGACTTGGCTCAAGTGCTATCTTCTACCTGAGGTCTCTCCTGATTCCCCCATATACTAGTACCTTCACCTCAAATCACCTTGTATCTATGTTATAGCCACCTATTTATATATGTATTATCTCCTCCAAGGGAATATAAGCTCCTGGAGGTCAGAGGCCATCTCACGTCTATCTTTGTATCTTTTCTCCCTAGCACAGTTCCTGTGCTTAATAAATAATAAATACTTAATTATACAAATGCTTAATTAATGATAATCATAAATGCTTAACTAAAGAGTGACAGGGAGACAACAAAAGGACTCCACTAGTATCTCAAAATGTCAGGAGAAATCAAGGAAGACCTTCAGCATGTTGGGTGGACAGTGGAAGACCACCACTCTATGGTAAGTTGTGGAAGAGCATGAGTAAGAGTCACACAAGATGGGTAAGCATGGATTGGTCGGGATCTGTCTCATTAGAAGGGACTTTTGGTTTGATGTGATCTCAGATACATTTGAGCATTATCATCATCATTATTATTACTTCCCAAGGGCCCTATTTTTGCTCATTCCTTTTGCCACTACTGTGTATATTATGGCATGATTCAGTTACATACACAGCTACTCAAATAGAAAATAACATAAAGGGGACTGGACATGAAGCCAAAAGGACTGCTCTTCTGGCCTACAAGCTATGTGACCTCACACAGGTCACTGATCCCCTCTGAGCCTCAGTTGTCTTATCTGCAAAGTAGAGATAATAATAACCATACTGCTTGTCATAAAGGGTTATGATGATGATCTGATGAGACAATGTGTGTGGAAGGATTTTGTAAAGTCTTGTGGAAATATGACCTTATTCAGTATTCATAATAGTACTGGAAAAAGTCCTAAGTAGCTGAGAGATGACTGTGTCCAGCTGGATGATGGTGATGGTGGGGTGTAGAGGTTGTGGCATTAAAAATATACATCCAATGTTCTGCATGACTGCACATGTATAACCTATATCAAATTGCTTGCTTTCTCAATGTGGGGGAAGGGGAGGAGCAGGACAGAGGAAGAGAATTTGAAACTCAAAAATTTTTTTAAATGAATGTTAATTATTTTTATAAGAAATTGGGGGAAAAAATAAAATATTAAAAAAAGGAATCAGGAAAATATACATCGGACAGAGATTGATTCAAAATGGCTCCAGGAAAATCAGATAGATATGTATTCTACTATTCGTCAGGTCCAGGACCTGAAGAACACACACACACACACACACACACACACACACAGCAGTCCTCTGTCCTAAGCCTGAAGAGCACACACATACATATCACCTTCCTGGGCTTACAAATTCTATGCTATTTTGGACTTTGCCCTGGAGGTCTCCCAGTGCCGAGAAGGACTTTGGAGGGAGTGAAATCCCCACCATGAGTCCTTTGGATATTTCTTTCAACTCTAGGTTAGAGATTCACATAAATCTGAGCATACAACACAGTATCTTCTAGGATGTTGTTATTTACATCAACAGGCAATTCTTCATTTTCTAGAAAGTGTCACCTTGGGGGTCCTTGGGATACCATTTCCTCTGGTCATTTTAGAGCTGGTTGATTTAGTGTTGTACCACAGCAACTGAGATTTCCCATGGGAAGCTAATCGGTAGACTGTCACTGCTGCTCCTGATGATGACAATTTGTTGTTGTTGTTCAGTCATTTCAGTCGTATCCAACTCTCCATGATCCCATTTGGGGTTTTCTTGGCAGAGACACTAGAGTGGTTTGCCATTTCCTTCTCCAGCTCATTTTACAGATAAGGAAACTGAGACAAACAAGGTTAAATGACTTGCTCTGGGTCACACAGCTAGTAAGCATCTGGGACAATATTTGAATTCAGCTCTCTACTGAGTCACCTAGCTGCTTCAATGACAACACTAAGACCCAATAAAATCCTTAAATTGCTTCCTGAATCCATTTTAAATTTACATATATGTGCTTTGCATTCTAATCCTTTGAAATCAGTCATTTGTATTTAAAGACTACAATACAGAGGAAAGAGCATTAGCTCTGTAGGCTGAGGCACCTGGGTTCAAATTCTGCCTCTGACACATTATGTGACCTTGGGCAAATCACTTAGACTCCTCTGGGCCTCAGTTTCCTCATCAATAAATGAGGGGATTGAAATAGAGAGGCTCTGAGGTCTATAAAGCTTTGTTAGCTGTAACACTTCATTAACCAGAAAGAACATCTTCCTTCTTAACTCTTCCAGATAACTATAAGTTTACAGTTTATAATATTCACCCAGTTTTTCAGGATTATCTTCCATATAGGGAAAGAAAGTATAACGTGACTTTGACTTCTTCCTGGAAATATGCATATATTACATATTGCCCCTATCACAAATAACTTTTCAGTAGAAAGAACCTTGGCTTTGGTGTTCTGTGTGACCTTGAACAAATCACTGTACTTCTCTGGGCCTCAATTTTCTCTGTAAGATGTGTATGCTGCTCGTGTTAGTTGTCTATGTTTATGTTGGCTGTCTAAATGCAACTCGGGGAGGCACATATAGATATCTCTGAAATTTTGCCTTCCCCTCTCCAAGAGAAAAGTCTCTTCTTGCCTGGAGAGAATCAGGAGAGAAGTCATGAAGCTGGCTGCTCTGTTCCTGCACCAGATTAGAATTGTATCTATTCAGCATTCCCCTACTCCTCAAATATTGCTGAGCTAGAAGCTTTTTTTTAAGGTTCCAAAGCAAGTGTTGCCAATTCCCTGGTCACTGTCCCTTAAAGGAGGGTAACTCAAGTTTAACATTCTCCCCCACATTTAGTTACACAAAAGATCACCACAAATAGTGAGTAAATTCTCTTATCCAAGCAAGCAGTAGACTGAAATTGGAGAAGTTCTACAGATTAAACTATACCAGAAAATACATTTAAGACTGAGTGAAATTTTTTTTGATGGGAGCAAGCTGACAATTTGCTCAATCTTACCCAAAGAGAAATTCCTTAAAGTCTCTAAGGACACAAGCTGGAAATCTGGGTCCTTACATGTCTACAAGACAGTCTTCTTTTCTGTGGAGTAGACCTTGGAGTCTGGAACCATGTTATGTCTCTCTCGAAAGAGGAACCAAGAATATATCTCCAAAGTTCTCAAACCAACAGCACCCCTCACTTAGGTCTGCAGATTAGAGTTATCATTCTTTCCACCAAGTTGGAGAGTCAAATACAATAAATGCTCCAAGGTTAAAATCTAGGTTACATCTCATTTGTAAACTGAGGGATCTTAGGTCTATAAAAGATCCCAGAGACCATCTGGTCTAACTCCTTTACTTTAATAGTGATGAAACTAAGACCCAGGAAAATTAAGTTAATTGCCCAAGGTCATACAAGTAATAAGGATTTCGGGGGGAGGGTGCCCCAGTGAGACTTTGACAAAAACTAAAGGCCTACAGTGACTTAAAGACAGATATTGAAAGGTAAATGGCAAAGCCTTCAGGTTCAATATAAACATTCCATACCCTAAAAAGTATGGTGGGCTTCAAAACCCTAATTGCATATGAAGAGACCAGCAAGACAAAGATTGTGACTCCAGGGTACAGACCACATTCATAATCTGTCCTTGCTGCTCATCTACCCAAGATTCGCAGAGGAGTATGAAAGGTGGGAAAAAATAACAACAACAAAACTCATCACCTAAGAGGATATAGAGTGGTGTACTGAGGTAAGTGGCTTCTGAGAGAAGAAGAATTTGTCAAAAGGAGAAGCTCATTTTCTGCCATCTCAAGCACTCTCAGAGCCTCAGCTCTGAGTCCAAGGGAAGAATCTTTTGCTGATCCTGAGAGTCATTGCCTTAACTGAAAGAGCTTTTGTAGCACTCTAGCTGAAAAGAACATGCTAACACTCCAGCTGAAGGGGACATAGGCTCTCTCAGCCTGGCCAGAGGCTGAAGATAGAAAATGGCTGTAACTGCCCATCAAAAAGAAAACCCAGGGGACTCATGGATTAACCCATCCAGCAGAGATGCCCCACCTGACAACAGCTGCCCAGCTGTAGAATGGCCAGCCTGACCCTGTCCAGCAGCCACAGAGCTTGGTGTGGAGCCACTCTAGCTGCTGAGTGACCTGTTTGGTCAGTCTATCAGCCATAGAATCTGGTAAGGAGCCAGCATAGCCACCAAATGCCCTGCTCCACCAAGGCCAGCAAAAGATTGGTCTGTCCAATTGAGACACCACACCCTGGTGGAAGCTGGCCCAGCTGAACAAGGGAGTGACTTGGAGTAAACTCTGTGAGGACCCTCCAGGGAGAAAAAGGACATCAAGCCCCTGCTATTTCTGAATTATGAGTTGCCTTGGCTTTGTGTGTGCCTTACTACTATTGTACTTTCTGTTCAGTATAATGTTCTTTGATGTCTTCTTTCTCTCTGGAAAAAATAAATGCTATAAGAGTTCAGAAGAGAGAGAGAGTACTCTAAGTTCCTGTTCAATGCCTACTCTTCTCCCATTCTGGACTCAGGGTATATTTATGGGAAAGTGTGCCTCTGAAATTGAGGAAAATGATTTTTAACTATTATTTGAACTATGCTGTTTGAGTAAATGCTTTTTGCTATGATCTGAGTTTACTGGTCGATTATTAAGAGAAAGTACATTGATGGGGGCTTTTGAGATAGTATTTAGGAGAGCCATACCCCTTTAGAATTCTGGTCTACCCCCTTAGAATTCTGGAAGTAGTAACAGCTAACCATGTGACGATTCAACCAGCCACTGTGAATTGGGAAAATAAGTCCCAAGGGATATTATATGAGCATCAGAGATGGAATTTGAACCCAGGTTCTCTTCCTACAGAGCCAGTGCTTTTTCCATTTTACTATACTGTTGGAACAAATGACCTCAAGAATATTTTCTAGCTCTAAATCTAGGATTCTACAAAATTAACTAAACAAATATTTATTAAACTCTTCCTATGGGCAAGACAAAAAAAAAAAAACAAACAGATGGAGTAATAGATAGAGAATTGGTCTTGAAATCATGAAGAAATGAGTTCAAATTGCAGGTGAGTTTCCACACTGGGAGTTCTTCATACACATGAAATCAGGTATAGACCAAAACAAATAAACAAAATAAGCAGGATATTCCTGGGTGCTGTAGGGGATAGAAAAATCCATAAACCATGAACCTTGCCTTGAGAAACTGGTAATTAGTTAGGTGGTTAGTTATAGATCTAACACACATGACAAGTTGAACAAGTATGCTAAATGAATAATCCCAGATAACAAAACAAGAGCGATCACAAAGTAATACCCAATGAGTGGGAAATGAGACAATAAATGTCGAAAAAATTCCAGAGGAGAGAGATGGTACTGTAGGGTCCCATGATCTGGGGAGCTTTCAAGGAATAAAAGGGACTTCAGCTGTGATTTTAAAAAAGGATGGGATTTGTTATTGTATTTTTATCATGAAAGACATCTGTTCCTAACCCCTATCCCATACCATTGCTTCCCATGCGTGGAGCTGATGTAGTTGTCAGTCAGTCTAAGCGGAGACTTGGAATTTGCCACAGAGAGTTTGCATTCACTGATAATTCCCAGTCTCTTGTCTCTGCCAACATCTCAGGCCCTCATATTTCTTCTAATCTAAACAGTGCTTTGGGAAGACACTGGATGTAGATGAGATTCTGACTGGTGAGGCTGCCTTCCCAGATTAACTCTTGCAAGAACCTGAATTTAGTTTAGATCTAGTTTAGATCAATACCAGTAGCATGCCATCCAGGCAGAGGAAGTTCTCACCAGAAGCAATATGATGCTTTAAATTCTTGGAGTGCCTTGTTGCCTCCTCTCTGACTATTCATAACATACCTACTTTTCAAGCCTTGGCTTATGCCCATCTTCTCCACGAGACCTTCCCTGACCACTTTGGCTACATTGACTTCTACCATCTATAACTCCTTTTGAGCTGCTGTCTGGACTGCCTGTTTTTAGTCCAAGCCTATGGTTTCATTCCCATACTTGGAAACTCTCCACCAAAGCAAGCATCTATAACCTTAGAGAATTTCCTGGGACACTGAATGTTTAAATGACTTGCCTATTGTTCCATAATATGCATCAGGGGCAGGATCTATACTCAAGACTTCTTGATTCCAAGGCTGTCTCTATTCTATCCATTATACCACTCTGCTTCTATTGAACAATTGTTGTTGTTCAATCACTTCTGATTCTTTGTGACTCCATATGGAGTTTTCTTGGCAAAGTTACTTGAGTGGTTTGCCATTTCCTTCTCCAGCTCATTTTACAGATGAGGAAACTGAGGGAAACAGTTAAGTGAGTTGCCTAGGGGTCACACAGCTAGTAATATCTAAAGCCAGATTTGAACTCAGGTCTTCCTGACTGCAGGCCTAGTCTTCTATCTACTGTGCCACCTAGTTGCCTCATTGAAAAATCAGTGCCTGTTACAATCTATTTTACTCTCTAATTTTACTATACACTTTATCACTTTATCATAGTTGTATCATGTTTTGTTCACTGGTGTGAACAAATGTATATGAGTCTGTTCTCATCACTAAGACTATGAGAATTCATGTCTTCTCTTATATCCTTCAAAGTCCTTTATGTGGGGCTCGGTGTTCAGTAGGTGTTCATGAAAGAGCTTACTTATTGATTAATTTTAGTTCATCCATATCCTATCTATGAGACAGGGCCTGGCTCTATTTATATATCCAATCATATGAGATCACAGGGTCATTGAAGCTTATCTGTATCTGGCTATTAGGTGCAGCCAAGACCTGGGAATATCAGTTCTCTAGTTTGTGTGCCCTCCCGATGCCTCTGCCAACTAAACAGGAACAGTGTTCCAGCCTTGTGGTTGTTTTGAGCCAGGCCAGGTGTTAGCTCCCAGAATGAATGAAGCTCAGAGTAAAGTCTAAGCAAATGTTATAACTTGAGTCAGCCTTACAGTTTGGTAGTTTCCTACAAAATGTGACTTTTGCAAAAATATCTTCTTCATTAGTTTGCCCAGGTATCTGAAATTTTACCATTAGACCACAAGATATTTTGTCTCCAGAGGACCTCTGGTTTTTATACACCCACCTGTACACCCACACAACTACCCACACCTCACCCCCACACTCACCCCTATGTATGTGTGTGTGTGTATATATATATGTATATATATATAGTGTATATATATATACACATATATATGTATGTATGTATTACCTAAACCTGATTTTGTGAGTGTGTAAATATACATATCTGAGAAAGGTAACTTATTAACCCATTAACAATTACTATTGTAGATTAATTTTTAAGTTAACTGGGCAAGTACTCTTTGAATAGCATAAGGAGTAGACAAAGCAGGAAAGGTCTATGGAATATGAGGCCATTTCTGGAAAACCTTAATGAGATAGTATAGGAAAGGCTCTTAGGCATTTGGGAGCTATGCATAGCATTTGAGGGGAGGGACAGACCGTTCAAAGTGTGCTTCCAAAATAAACTTCTGATTTGATTTACAATTTTTTTCTGCAGACTGGCCTTGGTTGTTGCTTTACCCACCCACAACAACAACGGTCTGGTGGAAAGAGCATATGCAAAAAATCAGATGTCCTGGATGCTAGTTCCTCTGTGCCACTAATTAGCTGCATAACCATAGGCAAGTCAATGAATTTTTTCATTCTTGGCTTCCTCATCTAACACATGAAGGTTATACCTACCTTACAGGGCTGTTATGAATATCAAGCGAGAAAATGGAAGGGAGAGTACTTTCAAAAATATAAAATGCAAATGTAATTTATTATTAATTCCTACCTGTAGAACCTTGCCAAATAAAGAGCTTTGAACATCTCCTCTAAAATATGCTGAGGAGGAATGTCTCACCTTCCAGAGAAAATAAAGAGAAACTCATTTCTGAAACTATAGTTTCCAGTGAGATAACCAATCAGCATGGGTGGTGAGAGGTCAGTTTTGAATTCTCAATCAACCAATTAACAATCATTTTGTGCATACCTATTAGGTGTCTGTCACTGTGCTAGATATTGAGGAGACAAAGACATGAAATAGTCCCTGGCCTCAAGGAGCACCATATGGTCAGATTTGTGCTATGGAGTTATTCTAACACTGGTCAAAAGTCACCTATTTTCCCTGAAAATCATCATGACACCACATGGATGGCAAAATTTGATTGATGATCACAGAGAACTGCGATTATTCAGGTCTTCCCTACATACTTCCAAAGTTTCCTTCTGTCTCCAGAGCAGATTTCCCCTAACCCTTAAAATTATTCAGAAAAATTTCCCAGTACTAGAGACACATCGTTGGTGTGTTAGATTTTATGAAATGCAGATGAATCCATTGCACTAATGAGTCACTTAAATTTACCTCCACATATTTCATTGTATGGCCTGTCTTTTTTAAGTTCCTTCCTCCTTAGGCTCAACAGTGATAGCTTTCATTCAATGCTGCTCTGTTGGCCTTCATCTGGTTCTCCTTTAGATAACATTACTCGGACAAATTCCAAAAGTGGGCTGCAACCACTCTTTACTTCATGTCCTTCCTAATGCAACGTGGCCATGGAAATCCCTCCTCTGTTGGAGTTCTCAGAATTGCCTTCAAAAGGCTTAGGAGAAATTGAAATGATTCTGGGGAATTAAAAAGTTGTGCTAGGGACATAGGAGACACTCTTATAGATAGGTTATAAATGGAAAGGCAATTTTCTCGGTTCCTGTACAGATGATATTTCAGTGAGTTGATTTTGGGGGCCAAAGCATTTTGAAAATAAAACAATTTTTTAAAAATTTACATATTTCCTACTTTCAAACCAATTAGGCTTTCAAGAGAAAAGAAGGGCAGTTCCTGCTGTGTGAGACTATTCCTTGGAAAACTTATGAGGGTTATCTTTGACAGTCCTCATCACTCCTTCATGGTACCACTCCCCCCTCCCTTCAAGAGTTTCCTGCTCTCAGGAAGGCTCTGCTAGCCTTCATTTCCACAGTGGGATGAATTTTACTCATTATGTTCCCTCCATGAAAGTGCTTTTTTGATGCTTCACTGTAGTGTAGGTAGAGGTGGCCCTAGGTTCTTGAGAGGAACTCAAGCTCTGATGGGTCTTTTCAAGCTAGAAGAGTCTCACATGCAGGCTTTCTGATGACCTCCCTGTCTATCACCTGAGGATCAGCCTAGCTAAGTTCAGAAAAACTCATTAGTATATGCAAGGTAATGATGATGTTTGGTCCCAAGTTACAGAGAGGTGTGATTTTCATGGATGACAGGAGGGCCCACACCAATAAAATTACAGAACTTTCTCCTAGAGGTAATTGTAATTTAATAATTTAATGTAATATTAATGGTAATAATTTAAAATCTACTGCATGATTAAAGAGTGAAACACTGTAACTTTCACAAGGTATTTATCTCATTGAACTGCTCTGAATGCATCCTTTGTTTTTCTAACTGGACTCTAAGCAACTTGAGGGTCAAGATGTGTTTGTTATTTCCTTCTTAATACCTCTTAATACCTAGCATAGACTTAGACACATAGGAGTCACTGTAGAATAAATTCCACATCAGCTAACATTAAGAGCCTACTATGTCAAAGACACTGCATATCACTGTTGAGTTAAAATGAAAATATGATCTAGATATCAAAGATAGATGTTCAGACTGTCAAATTTAAGTTTGGATATCTGGTGACATATGCCCACTAACCGGAATTCTAAATCTTGATTTCTTTGGATAACATAGTCTTTTCTTTGGAATTTTTTCAATTAATGAAAGGTATTGGAATAATCCTGGCCCCCAGCAAATTAATTTCACAAATCTTATCTAAAGCACTTAGGTAGCACAGTGGATAGAGGTAGACATGTGCATGAGGAGACTTTCAAATCATTTGATTTAAGAAGCTATCTCCTCTGCCTGCATCTGGGTGCAATATAATGGAAACAGCACCAGATTGGGAGTCAGGGGGCCCAGTTTCAGGTGTTGACTTTGCAACTAACTTGCTGTGGAACTTTAAAAAAGTCACTTCATCTCTTTGGGCCACATTTTCTTCATCTGTAAAATATGGAGACTAAATTCTAAGGTCCCTTCATAATTTATGCTTCTAAGGTCAATCTTATCTCAGAAGAAAACCTGAATATCTAAGGCTCCAATAAGTGGGTACTACTTGAAAGCCTGTTCTTTGAATCTGGACCATCTCACCCAGAAGCCCTGATATGAAGATATGTCATAAAGCAAAATGAACATTCTCTGCCTTTTCCTCAAAATGCTTTTCTTCTGGTAGCTAAGGCAGGTGTATCAGTCCTGGCCAGCCCCCCAATGATGAAGATGCTTCCTGTCTTTATATCTACCCAAGGAGAGGCCTAGGTTACACAGCTTCAACCACAAATATTGGTATTTTAAAGCAAGTAACATGAACCATCTAAGGGCCTTGGAATTAAAAATCAATTAAAAGGCTATAGCATGCAGTGTGAAGGGGAATTATGTTGAAAATAGGTTGCAGAGCTTCAAAAAATCTATTTTTTTCAGTTTCACCCCTTTTTGTCCCCACCCCAACTCACTGTAAAGATCTATGGTCCTATAAAAATACTTATAAAAGTAAATAAAACACCACTTTAAAGTGTCTAGCCATATCTCAAGCAAATTACCTTCCACTGATGACCCTCTATAACCTGGCTTCAACCTAAGTAATCACAAACTCAATCATAGTGATTCAATATAATTCAACCATTTATTAAACTCCTACTTTGGGCAAGGCACTGTTCTAGGAACTGGGGGTGCAAAGAGAGAGATGACATAGCCTGCTCTCAAGGAGCTTACAATCTCATGGAGGTGCGGCAAGGCATGGATTTATTATATACAATTCTATTACAAGGCACAAGGGAAAATGTGATAAGTGCAAATGAGAGGTCCAGGAAAAACTTTGGTGAAATTTCAGAAGTAAGAGATG